ATTAATATGCTTTAGACTAGCAAAGAAAATAGAAGAGTAGACTCACTGGGTCATTTCACTAGATACAGTTGAAAAGAAAAATGGTGACCTGAGGCTGTGTATTGACCCAAAAAAATGTGAACAAATAGATAAAGGGAGAGTATTTCCATTTGCTAACTAAAACAGGCACAGGCACTACTGGACTGAAATTATTTCCAAAGCTAGATGCATCCACAGGCTTTTACCAGATACCTCTAAGTGAGGAGACTGCAGAAGCTCTGAACTTTCAATGCACCATTTGTCCGTCCCTGTTTCAAAGGGGTCACATCTGTCACTAGAGCCTGAGCCAGTCCACAGAACACAAAACAGTACAACTGCTTGAAGAGCTGAACACTGTGAAACTGTTTTGCCAGGGTACTGAGTCTGTAAGGAAGGCTGAATAAAATATAAAGGATTCAGGCCTCTAAGAGCAAGTCAGGACAAGAGTTTGAACGAGACAAAAACAACTTTTCTGGCCAGGAAGCTATGGGTAATGACTATGAAGGACAGACAAGTCAAATTACAGCCAAACACCTGAAGTGAACACCTTGTAGCATCACAAAATATTACCTGTATTTGTATCATTGTGTTGTTTAGACACTAAACAAATCAGAAAGGTCCCACTGGACAAAGTGGCCAAAACAGGATCAAGTCCTTCACCAACAAAGTGACAATCACAGTGGGTAAGAGACAAAGGAGGAGATGACCAACAAAACCAGCAAGACAGTGAAAGTAAAGAACAGGTCCCATTCCTGCTGCACAGCCTTTCACTGCCCTCTTTGGTATCAGATCTCTCTCCTGTACAGTAAATGCCTCCTTCAAACTCATAGACAAGTATTATTTTAAGTCACCCACAACCTGTGTTTGCTTTCTCTTACACCCTCAGTTTAACTTTCCAACATTGCCATGAGATGCTTTTCAGTCGCCGTCTTTACACACTGAAGTTCTCTCAACTTGTTGCTATTTTCCATCTTTTATCATAATGAGCTTTTTGTCTCTCTCTCAGAGTAGCTGGGACACGTCTAGTGGAGCCTGCCAGATGTGAACCACTGCCAGGATCTCAGTGTGGCAGCACAAACTTGCATGCAGCTTATGAGTAAATTCAAGAGTTTACCAAAGCCTTGGAGAAAACTGGGATTCAGCACCAGAAATCTGATACCTCTTCAATGGCATGATCATACTCCGAAGATTTCTGACTTTCATTCACTTATTTGTGTCTTGACTGTCTTAAATAGGCATGACCCTAACACAGTGGCAAACAGCTCTGAGAGATTTCCTGCAGAGGGGCATTACCTTGAAAACTCTACCCAGGAAAGTTTGTATTCCATCACTCCTGGCAAATTTGCCATTATTCAGAGAGCTTCTGGCTACTCCTTACAAGTCACCTTTCCAGTGGTGCTGAACTACTACTTTGTCAGCAGTTTTAAGAAACTACACAACTAAATCCCAATTCACAATAAACCCCCCATCTTTTCATCTCAATTAACACAGTTTGTCAATACTTGCTAATATTTGGCCATTTAAGAAAGCATAACATTTTGCTGTTTATTACCTTATTTCATACAAATATTTGATTCCCTGATTCAAGAGCCAGGCACATATTTATGCATTAGAAAAGCAACTACAGGGATGACATTTTATAACCCACAGTCATGCATTTAGAAACATGCTTGAACAGCCATTTGTAATACAACTGCTGGGTATTTTACTAGGTAAGTACAGTGCCTAATAAACTTTAGGATCTACTACCACATATGAAAACAAAGTAAATTGGAGTATTAATAGCTCTATCTCCATTTTGAAAGTGTTATATCCAGAAGAGATATTAGCCACTTATAAAAACTCCACGCAGCTATAATTTAACATAATGCAAGTTCCTGCTGGCTTCTTAGCTAGCACTAACATGATGAAATTAAGGAAAAAATGAAAATTTAGGAAGTTTTCCATAACAGTAGGGTATGCCATGCTACTGGACTTTCAAAATAAGACATAAAACCCCCTCACTGCTTGATTAATTTCAAATCAGAATGAATCAACATTCAAAATGAAGAGCCTCAATCAGCTTCCATTGCACTGTAACTAAAACAAGGATGGTACAAGGATGGTAGATCCATGGCAGGTGCTGTAGCAACCTATGGGTGCACAGCTGTGCTTGCATTTGTGTTCAAACACTACTTCAGCACCCAAAATTCTGGTAACTCCATGCCCCTTTAACATCTCTGCTCAATACTTTCTTGCACATATTTACTCCTTGTGCAAACCAATCCATCCTCTGGCTGTGCATCCTTAAACCCTTTTTTAGGGCTTACTGGATTTTGCAGTTCCAGTTTCTGTGAGCCTTGTTCTAGCTCACGGCTAATAAGGAACTGAGGATTTCCAGTTATCTATTCATTATACAGTAAAGTAAATCTGTACATTGGTGTTCACGTTTATGCTCTGATTCAAGAAAGCTATTAAAATAAATAAATAAATAAATAAATAAATAAATAAATCTCACTTCAAGCTCGTGAATACCTCCTATAGCCTATAAAGAGGCTTAAGCACATGCATTAGCACTTTGCTGAAAAGAGGTCATTTCCTGAAAGGAATATATATACACTTGGGATTTACTTATGTAAATACGATTTCACACACGTACCCTCCACCAGGGAACAGGCATCCAATAATTGGTATGTAAAACATGTGCTTGTACCTAAATGCAAGAGCACTTTTGCACACTGACTTTTATACATCCTGGTCTGACTAGGGGCATGGCTTAAATTAAATGCCAAGCTTCTTTCTTGAGTTTGAATGAATTAACATTATTGGCCAGATAATAACCCCAGCATAATGGCACACTGAAGCCTAAGGCAACATTTCAGGAGAATTTTCTTAGAAATTCAAGCCTGATAGGAGATGCTAATGAGTTTAGAGAAGTAAATATAGCTCTTTAAATAGCAAAGGACAACTTGTCTATAACAGTAAGTTTCTCAGCACATTTACAAACGTTTTCGCTTGTGAGCTATAAAGTGACTTTCATTTAGTTGGACTTTAGCTCTCCAGAACAATCACTATCCTCACACACCAACAAAGAGAGTGCAAATACACGAGGGGAGCGCAAATGAAATGCTCGTTAAGGCCTCACAAGGAAACTATACAAACACCTTATTTAATAAGTTTAATTAACTGGCTCTTTTTGAAATCATACAGTGCCCAGCAATGCTGAGAGAGCTCTGCTTTTCTTCCCTGAAGGAAAGTAATATTTTCTCTTTTATTCTCACAGAGCACAGCCCCGAAGCCCCGAGAAGCAGCTGCTGGCAGGGCCTGGCTGGGGCACCACTCTTGACTTCTTTACAGCATGGCTGGGTCAATGCTGATCCAGGTTCCAGCAGGGAGTAAAAACAGCTTGAGGAGGCTGGGTTGTTTATGAATTCCCACTGTAGCACTTTCTCCCACCTTTAAGAAGCAGCATAACCTCCTATTTCTCTTATACTAATATTTTCAGAAAGAAAATATTCATATATCAGTGCCTAACTCATGTATTAAGTCTAATGCAAACGCTTATTGGAGAGGATGCATTTGTGACTGCCAAAGCTGCCCCAGAAAATGCCAGACTCTCTTTACAAACCTTAATCCCGTGCAGTCTCTGAAGGTGAGCACGGAGCTGATATAATTCTCACCTCCAGGCTACAGCAATCAAAACACAGACCCGTGTTTTAGATTCTTCACATCAGCACTTTCAGAGCATGTCAAGTCACCAGGACGTCCATTAATTTTAATGTACATTAAAATGACCGGCATTAAGAGGCCATGCAATTTTCTGCCAAGTACTTTGTTTTCCCTGCCGACTGGGGTGGGAAAAGTCTCTTTATGAATTGCTACTGATTCCGCTCTTGCTTCACTCTTGAGATACTTCCGTATCTCTCACGGCTGCCTCTACAATCAACTACCCTGGGAGAGAGGTTGGCAGGACTGGACCAAACTAAACAATGAAGATTCTTTTAGGAGTAATCTTCTTATGGCAGTCAAAGAGCACCACTAATACCAGCAGGATAAAAGGCAAAATTATTTTTTTATTCCTAAGAATGGCAACGACAGCAGGAATTGCAGATAGCTTAATAAGTTTCCACCACCATGCCCCCCCCTCCCCCCTGAAAAGAAGGCGAAGGGCACGTTTTAATAAAATAACCACAACCATCATGGTCTGAGCAAGAAAACAAGAAGTGCTGAAACACAGCAGTCACCTTCTATTCTGCACAGAAACCCCTATTGGAATCATGCACTATTTGCATCCCTGAATCACTTCAGAGAAGATTTCTCTTTGTCAAAGGGACTCTCTGATCACAGAAGTTCAGCGATGAGAAAAGCCAACAGGTCATTCAAATGACCTCTCTGTTAAGCCAAACATGCTCCTCAGCTGTCCCTTTAATCAAGATAACAAGCACCTGGTCCGGTCCAGGTGACAGGGCTTCTATTCAGGCTCTGGAGCTACCACCGCGCAACTCCGGTATAATTCAAAGGAGGCTATTCCTAAACACTGTCATGCACCGCTCTCGGAGCTTTCACCGCTTCCCAAATTCCGTTCCAAGCTGGGACTGGGACAACCCTTCCCACAGAGAAGCTCCTTTAACACAACGCAGTCATTAAGATGCATCTGTAAAGATCACCATCGTTCAGGGTGAGAGAAAGGAAACTTTCCCCGCTTCTCATCTTAGTCAAAGGGAAGCTTGCATGGTTAAAATAAACAGGAGAGAGAGAAAATTGGAAGGCAGGGGGGGTGGGAGGGGTGGGCAGCGAAATTTCAAAGCACAACACAAGAAATCAAGCAGAGCCAGCGGCAGCATCTAAGGGAAGAGGCGAGAGGATAGAGGAGGAAGGGGTAATTCAGTTCACACGGCGGGCAACAAGACACTTCGCTCGGGAGGAAGGAGTTGCAGCCGCCGCAGCCCGTGCGCGATCAACTGGTGCCTGCGCTGCGCTCCCCGGCCGAGCCCCCCGCTTACCTCCGCAGAGCAGCGCTCCGAGCAGCATCCTGGCAGCCCCCGCCATGCCGAGGGGCCGCGGGCAGGTCCCGGCGCGGCCCGGGGGGGGGCTCCGGGGGCTCCTCCTCCGTTAGCTCCGCGTTCCCTCCGCCCGCGCCATCGCCGCGCTCCGCCCGCAGCCCGCGCCGGCCCCGCCGCCCGCGCTACCCCCGGGCAGTGCCCATGGCCGGCAGCGCCCCGAGGGTGCCCCCGGCACCGCTGGCGCTCCCCGGGAAAAAAAGTTTTGCGAGCGAAGGGCGGGGGGAAGAAGATCCGGGAGAACCGCGTCCCCCGCTGCCGCGCTGCCCCGCCGAGCCCCGAGCGCCCTCCCCGCCCGTCTGCGGGGCCGCGGCCGCGCCGCGCTCCCTCACACACTTTTCTCGCGGCGGAGGGAGGGAGGGACGGGCTGGAGGGAGGGGGCACCGCCGGGCCCCACCCTCAGGGGGCGTGAGGGGACGGGGACTGCGGGAGCGGCGGAGCGGGACCCGGCACCGGTGATAAGGTGAGGCAGCGGCTCAGGGCGCCGAGGGGGCGAAGGGATGAGGGGTTCCTGCCCGGCGGGCACGGGAGGAAGGGGAGCCCTGGCCCTGGGGAGGGGAGAGGTTCCTCCCCGGCGTCACCGCCACAGCCCCGCGCTCCCGCTTGCCTCGGCCCCGCTGGAAAGCAACGTACAGTAAAAAAAAACAGAAAACCGAAAGAAAAGAGCCCCGTCAAAACACGAGACCTCACTGTGAGCGTTTCCCTCCAGAGAGAGAGGGAAACCCACTGCGAACCAGGTTGGCCCACCTGTGTTCCACCCGGCTCAGCCCTGCCATCGCCTCCTCATGCTCTTGTTTTGCTTTTTTTGTGCCCATATTCGGTTCCATCTTCTAAACGGAAATCGCAGGCAGTGTTTTCATCCCTATTCATTTAATTTCATGCTTTCCCCTGGGTATCCTGGATAACTTCAACTGGCATCTCTTTCTCCTTCTTGCAGTAAAAGTGTAAATATTTGTGGCCTAACAGTAAACATACTTTTAATAATATTTACTGCAGCTGTGGCACACAACAAGCAAGGGGCAGGTTAACAAGAAGTAGCAAGTATTTGAAATATTTTAGTTTAGGAGGTTCTGAGTGCAGAAATCACCTAAGTAGGGAAACAACACACAAACACACACTCTATGACAAAGCAACACCTTAAAATGGTGGCATATTTTACAATCTGCTGCTTTTATCCTGAGAAACTGGGCTCTGATCCTTCAGGCAAATACAGCCTCTGTGGCTGGCTAATCAACCAAAATCAGTGAGGGAACCTCTATCTGTAGTCAGTTCTTGAAACAGGTGTCAAAGTTTATCATTAGATATTACCCTAAATAAAATGAATAGAACATATTTTGTCTTATTCTTGAAAGCCTATTGTTCATGCAAGACATTATTCCCAGTTCAATAAGCCAAGCCAAGAAAGAGTGCCTAAACACAGAGTTTTTCCAAGGAGGAACTGCAGAGAACTTTTTCAGGAGTGTGCTTTGTACATTGGTTTACCTTATTTTATTGTCAGTAGCAGCTAACTTAAATGTGACAAAAGCAGAAAAAGGATATCATATGGATGCAATTTTAACATAATTTCTCTCACAAGAATGTAAAGAAGCATTTCTTGGTGAAAACTCATTCAAAAATGTGTAACAGCTTCGGTCTTGTCTGCTTGATTGTAGATTTTGCTAGACACTGCAAATATTTGTTAGATGAGTTTAAGAATTCAGCAGTTGACAGTAAAACAGAGCAGCTATCAAACATTTATGTCCTGCACGCGAAGTTGGAGATAATGTAGACAATTCATCTCATTTTTAAGGGAAAGCAGATGCAGTGACAAGAAATGCTATTTCTTTCCAAGGCAACTTTTACTAAGGGACCAAAACCCAATCCTATCATCATTCATAAACTACCAACGGCTTTGAATTGTGAAGAAAATTTCAGTACGATATAAATGGATGGAGCATGAGATTATTCAGAAATACTGACAGATAGTAGAGGTCGTATTTAACAAGTCCAAACTGGAGTGTCCGTGTTATTTGCATTACATGCTCTGAAGAAAGTTTTGGAAGTTGCACATTGAACCCATTGGCAGAGACTTTTATGGATAAGAGGTAGAAGTCAGATAACAAGGTGATAAAAATGGTAAAGAGGTCTGGACAGAATAGGTTTTGCTACAATTATTCTTATTCTTTTGAAATTTGATTTCCTATCATTGTAGATACAGTAATTCAGTACCAGAATTTTCAATACAAGCTCTGCCTAAGATGATTTATTTAGGTTTGCATTTTCAAAGGGACCCGAAGGAGTTAAGTACACAAATCACACTCAGATTCAAAGATCCCAGATGAATTTATTTCTTAATGCATTTATAATGAAATATATGGGTTGCTGTGAACAATTTATGGCAACACCACAATTAACACCAGGCACAAAAACAGAGAAATGTGTCTGAAGGCAGGGGAGAGGATATAAGGAGTTCTGGAAAAGGAAACTGTAATATTGAGATGAAATATTACAGAAAATGTCATTACTTACCTTTGATACAGGCCAAATTATGTCTCTAAACATGTAGGCAAAGGCATTCTCTATATGTTAAAGTATTTGCAATCCTGAATCTGTTTGGATTTTTGTGATGTTTTGTGGCTCCAGTGTGGGTTTGTAGGTTTAAAGTTAGATTCTGACATTTTATTCAGAATTATTATACTGCTCCTCAGATTATCCAGTTGACTTTCAGGTTAGTTTGCAGAAAACAGAGAACATGAATGGAGAGGAATTTGGTCCTAAGAGTTTGATTCTGTTCACACTGAAGTCTATGGAAATTTCATCCCCAAGTCCAGGTCTTACCTTGTCAAAGGGTTACTCAAGTGAATAAGGGGAATTGGTTAGGGATTTTTGTTTCCAGGGATTTTTACCACCAGTTTAGCCCTAGACTTCAACACATCTTAGTAATGATGTTTCAAGGGATTTGTCTTGAATGTAGCAAATGAACAGCATGAACTTAATTTTGAATAGCACGTAACTTAATTTTCCATAGATTTTTGTCACAGTTTTTTTGGTTTTGACTTGTAGTAAATATTTCATCAAGAGATACTTTTAGTGTAGTTCTACAAAAATCTCAGGAGTTTAGGTTTTGAAGTCTTTATGGGCTCTCATGACTTTTAATGGGCAAACCCGAACTTTTCAGTCTTACATGTGGTCTATTCCCTGCTATAAATGTAAGGAAATAAGGAACATGATCAGGAGCAAGGAGAGTGGCAGTGGGCCAAAGTTCACTTCTTAGGGTCAGGCAGCCTCCAAACATTTTCAAATGTACCATATAATATACTTTAAGCTGAAAATGCAACCTTTGAGTGTCTCACAGTCCCCTCTTTATGTTTTGCCAACCACAGTGTTGGAAATCACGTGCCAATTCACTGGCCCACTGCTGAAAAAATGAAAGCAGAAAGAAAAATCCATCAAACCAAAGCTCCTATTTCCATGTGCAGGTAGCAGTTGCTAGAGGAGCTCTCCAAGCCTGGCACTGAGGAGCTTTGTACAGTTTGTGTTCTGTCCATGCACCCATTGCATCCATGCAGAAGTTCTGTGCCTCAGATGTATCTCACCAGCATTTCTCAGGTGAAAACATGATCGTACACTTTGAGAAGTAACACTTTCTGTAGGTGATTGAGCATTGCAATGGGTACTTACTATTACTTACTATATTACTTGCTATTTTTTTGTAAGGGAAGGCAAAAGCTATAAAGTTGTCTCATATGGCACCTGGGATGTATAATGTTCATCATAAAATGGAAAATAGTTAAAGTACAAGATTTTACTCTCTTTTCTTAACATGGAAACGTGGAGGTTTAAGGGGAAAAAAATGACTAAATTTTGTGCTGGGCAGATTTTCAATATCAAAAGAAAATCGAAAAACTGTCAACCAACCCTAAGACTGGACTGGAAGCAGACATGTATGGGACATGATAGGACTTCAGAAAACAGGTGTTGGGGTTGTGATGTTGCAGCAGTTTAGCTCTCGTGACATGCTTGAGTATAACAGACATTGCAGTCTGTAACCTTGATTTTAATCATTGTGTAATGAAAAGTAATCTTTGGCCAGTACTCTGTGATTGAGCCAAACCCAAGGATTGCCCTTGATACATGTGAGTGGGTTTGGATGTGATCATTTAGCTCTGACTGTGCCTGATTTAACTTGTTCTCAGTTTTAGTTTGCCATGTACTGTTATCAGGGCACTACATCACACAAATGACTCTGTCTTTCAGTGTGACCTTAGACAAGTCACCCACACTCCCTCAGTGTCCTTATGTGTATAATGGGCTAATGACATCATGTAGTTTGTGTGTGGACTCATAGAGGAAAAAGATATATATATATATTCTACCATTCTTTAAATTATTAGGACTAAGTGAATAAATAGCTTTCTCATTTAATGTGGGCCCCTCTGCTCGCTCATTTGTAATTATTCAGAATTATACTTTTCATAACACTTTCTCTTTAAATATGGAGTGTTAAATCCTTGGAATGTGATTGTGGCCCATTCACTGCGAGTGTCCATACTGAAATTACATCCTCTATTGTCCCATGTACAGGACTCCAACAGAAGGAAAGGGAGAGGGGTACACCCCAAATTCTGCCAGAGATCTGAAGGCACAAAAAGGAATAGAACAAAAAAACATTCAGCATTCAGTTTTATCCCATCCTTGTACCTGGGTGCATTATCATCTCTCTTCTGTCTCCTGTGCTTTGTTTTGCAGTTAGGAGTATTGCCATTTAAAATGATTTTATTACACTTCAGTGTCAGCATCTATCCTTGTAATAGAGATATAACTTGTATCTCTCACAGTTAGTCATTCGTGCTGAATGCAGACAGCATGGCCTGGCTTCATATTCAGTACATCTGAAATGTGTTTTTCTACCACAGTGCCTGGCATTGTCATCTCTTTGGTTGACAAATGTTTTTAACAGGGACTTGGGATCCCAAGATACCGTTGTTTGTAAAAGGAACCAGCTCACCTGGCTGTGATCTTTCCTAGTACACAAGATGTCTCTGCTGCATGGATCAAAAGTTATGGGTGCCATGGGTGCACATCC